TATCTTCAAGCCAATCTAACTTTGAAACATTTTTATCATCCCAAACAATTTACCTTTTAAAGAATAGTTACATGGGGGGCTGGGGATTTAGCTCAGCGGCACAGCGCCTGGTTGGCAAGCGCAAGGTTGTGAGTTCGATTCCTGGTACCAGAAACCAACCCCCCAAAAAAAAATAGTTACATGACTGGGGTGGGGGTTGGGGTGGAATAGACAGCATTCATAATCAAAAATCAAAACAAGAAGACTTTTTGTGAGATACGAATATTCTCAGTGTGAACTGGCACTGCGGGAAGGTCTGCACTTAAACGACCTAAAAAAAGACATTCTCTGTATTCGTAATCTCACTTTGGAAGCAATCGATCTCACTATCTTTTGAAAAACGCAAAAGAAATAATTTGTTCTCTCAACCACGTCATGTTCCTCTTCCTTTAAAAACAATGTGTTTTTCTCGCACATTTCCTAGGCATATCAGTGGCCACTCGCTCTCTTCTTTACCTCCCCATTCAGCTCTTTGGAACACTGTCCGCATAGTACTGTATGTGCTTACATTAAATATCTCCAGTTCCTTCCCCCAAGGAGCTCACGAAAATTCATTAGACGAAGTAACAGGACAGTTGACACACTTTCCACTACCCATTCTCCACTAACCAATTTTTTTTTTTCATTTCTTATTTTAAAGAGACAAAAAGAAAATAATAAAAATGATACAGAATTTCCAAACAAGATGATAGGAACTTAACAATAGTTATTATATTGCATATTGTTATCTTCAAAGTAGTTGCTCAGATCACCAGGTACAGGCATGAAAAAATTAATTTTAAATTGGCAACTCTAAGATGAACTTCTGTTAAAGACTGACTAAAGCACCTGTGCTTCCCTGGCCTCTTCCTGATCAGTTTAATTTGTGGTTGCAGAGAAGCATAAGAGCTTCCATGTGTAGGTCTTCACACAGAAACAAGCTGGCAGTCTCCACAGGTGGCAAGAAAACCAGGCTTATAATCACCGCAATTTTGATCATCCCTAGGTTGAATAAAAGAATTTTAGCACTATACCTAAAGCAAGTGCTCAATGAAATGCTTGCTGAATATTTCTGAGTCATGACATAATAACACGGAACACTTGCTGAACATCTAACTTGTATTACCCGCTGACCTCCGTGTTTCACCTTAGCTCATTTAATGGTCAACCAAATGCAAGAGTAGATCTTACACTCCAGTTTTGTAGATCTTACACTCCAATTATCTCCACCATCCATATTCTAAACATAGGAGCCCTGAAGCAAACAGCACAATTTACCAAAATGACAGCCAGGATTCAAAACCAGAGTCTGGTTTCAGAGCTCAGGAACTACACCATCATGAAATACTTATGGCTATCTCACTGCATGGGTGCCAGCCTATTTTCTAGTTTGAAGAAGTAAGTATGTTCCATGGGTTATAGTGAGATGGTATCTAGGGAAGGAGGCTCACTGCTTTTCTAAGAGTCAGAGATTGTGTACACAGTGATTTCAGCAAGGTGATTTAACAGGAGGGAAGGAAAACGAGGGAGCACAGTACTTACTAAGTTGGAAGTAATATAAAAATCAACAGAAAATGGGGAAACTACACCACTTGAGGAGTGAAATTATCAAGACTTTTGGTTCAAACAGAAATCTGATAAATACAAAAGTAACACAAGTTCAATTATAGTGGCCAAAGTATAAACTTAGGCCGAAAGTGAAATAGTAAGCCCTAAATTATTTCATTAGAGTGAAAGTGGTCTGACAACGAAGATGCCAGTAGCATGTTCTTGGCCTGCATTTCATGTTGATCAGGTGGTGTGAGGGTTGCAGTAGTGGTGGTACAGCAATAGTTTCGGGGGTGCCGGTGATATGGTGGGGTGGGAAGAAAGAGAACAAGGAGGAACAAGAGAAGGCAGTGAGTGATAAATAGAAAACTGCAGGTATAGATGAAATAAAATTACCAAAAGCTATTATGAAAACATGGTCAAAAGGAAAATGATTCTCCCTGGAATTATACTAATGTAGCCTAGAGTTGTCTTTAATGTACATGTACGTTAAAGCAAAAAACTGGCCCAGCACGAGCCAGAGCTACTCAAGGTGATCCAACGGAAGTCGCATTTGATTTCCCTCAGACCACAGTTCTGGCATGCAAGCATATATTCAACAAATAACAAGGAAAACTGTCTCAACCACTCAAGACACAGGAATGAAAAGAAACAGCACCCATGCACACCTTGGCTTTTCAAACACTAGTGGGGACCTGTAGGGGATTTTCAACTGGCAATGGTAAAGATTATAATTTTCTGCTAATGGGATATTATCACAATTTTTCAGTCTAGGTTTGAACCAAGGCTCACAGAAGCTCTCCTATTTAATGTAACATCACACCCAACACTTATGAATTGTCTTCTACATAGCATTTTATAATCCTGACTCCTGGCTTCTTTGGAGTTAATTATTTCATAAGGATGTACTGGATACATTTAATTAACATGACAAATTAAAGTGGTTTCTTGCCATTCCTGACCCAAAAAAAGAGTTTTCATTTTCAAAGGAGAAAAAACTCTTTTAAATTTATTTCACAGTTCTCAAATGGATTTGATAAATTACTATTAAGTTTTGAAATATACGTCACAATCTTTTGGATCAATACAAATCCTAGCTAAAAGACAAAAATTGATATGCCTGGTATGCTAATGAAAGGATAAAGAAACAAACACATATCTCAGGCAATGAAAGCCTGAACGACATTATCTTTACATGATGACAAAAGAATCAATCTTTTGCGCTACTTATCTTTTTCAGTTTTAAGAAAAGATGATGACACAACTTAATAATTATAATCTACACTCTACCGTTTGTTCTTTAAGCATTCTTCATGACTAACATTATAATTTTTACCATGTGTTTTTGCACCACACATATTCCCCCATGATATTGCTAATAGATCTACCTTCTCCTTTTAAAATGTACCTAACGGTATGGCTAAATTTCCCTTTTTGCCAGAAACTTTCATCATACACATGCTATTCAACATTACCAAAGGAAACTCTTCAAGAGAAAACATATCACACCAAGGCTCAGGGGACAAGAACAAAACTAATTAAAACTGATATAGAAAAGTAGAACACTCTCCCCCCTTTTTAGATCCAGTAGGAGGGGAGAAAGAAATGGATTCTTTCACAAGTGAGCATCTTACAGTTCAAAGCCAGTATCATATAAATATGTAGCATGGAAAATATCACAACTAAATATCGCTGAGCAAGTGTTGTGATGATTTCTTATGTAGGAATCCCATTCAGGACATGATGGCAGGGGGAGGAAGGAAGGACCAGAGAGCTTAGACAATAGTCATCTGTTGCACAGATTGCTTTTTAATAACAATATTAACAATACTGGTTCCTAATCTCTTGGTATCTGTCTGCTACTTTCCCGCCAGAGATTTAAACAAAAGCCAAGCTGCACAGTGGAAGAACATTCTTAATGGAAGAATAATTTCACGGGTATGGGATCATGATGTCTAGTAACTTCAAGAAAATCTCTAGCTGCAATCTCAAAGTGGGTTCCCAGGGTCTTAACAGCACTTTGCCAAAATGTAATAAGTTTAACAACAGTGAAACAGCTTACTTTTGCAATTTAGCCAAAACGTAATAAGTACATAAAGCCACATGCCCAATTTCTCTCTAACAAACTAAATTTAGATTTCAACTTTAAAATAAGTTTTGACATAAATGGCTTTAAAATAACAACAGCATCTTACATTTGGGTCTTTTCCCAGTTAATTATTTCCTGGCATTGTACTAGAAATTCCTTGGCTTCACCTTAAGCCAACACTCCCAAGTGCTAATTAGGAGACCATATACATTAGTAACCAGAGAATGCTGTGCTTAAAAACATGCATGTTTCATGTGTATCCAATTAATAACGTTATTTCTTTCACTCCTTGAAAGATCTCTTTAGAAAATAGAGCCTCTATTTTAATGCAATGTCAAAGTGCAATTAGTAAAATGAGGCAAGTCTGATACAGGATCTTTGTCTTCAAAATATCTTGAACATGAATCAAATTTAACCTCACTGGAATAGTCGGTAGAGGGAAAAGCTAATGGCTGCAGATGTTGTACATTTTAATTGTACCAGGGGACTCCCAAAGAGAATGACCAACTCACATAAGAACTAAATCACTATTGAGCACCCAGACATACTATCAGTAAATGTCTGCTGGAAACATGCCCTTTCCAACGCTACCTCTTCCCAAAAGCCACCAGACAGATGGGAAAAAAGCACATGTAAACAAGGTAGCCCTAATGATTGCCTAATTACATAGGAGACATGATATTCTCATTAATTGGGAAACTAATTCACCTCAATCTCAGTTTCAAAAATAAAGAATCCAGAAATTCAAACTTGAGTGTCTCCACTCTATAGAATTTTCTGTGCACTTTCAGACCCTCCACCCAGCCACAAAGTTGTCAGTTCTGGCTGATTTGTTTGGATATTGGATTCGACGACAGCTGTCGGAAAGAGTACATTAGAACAGCTGCTGTGACAGCTACGAGGGGCTTAGAAGTTTAATTGGGCTCAATGTGACATGGTGCATTTTTTTAAACTTAGAAATACCCACACAACTAAAGAAATTTCTACTGGGTCTGAACAATGTTTACTTATGGGCACCACCAACTGGTTAGCCTCAGCTTGAGCTATATCACTGGGCTCCTAACATCTTTGCCACCAGGCTGCTGAGAGGTCAAAAAAAAAATAGAAAAAAACAGTAGGAGCAGTTAGGTGCCCAAGAAAAGGGGCATTAAACAGGAGAGGAAATGGTAAGGAAGTCACATCAATAATCCCTTTCCAAAGCTGGCTGGTGGCCAAGGAGGATCCCATAGTGTCTCAGGATTTACTTCTAAAGGAAATAGATTCAGAGGCCCTGAGCCTGGTGCCAACTGCAAACAAAAGCACTCATTATGGTCGCAGCGCCCCGCAGAAGGGGAGAAAGGCTTACTCTCAGCATTGGCCCGGAGGAAGAAGGCGAGGAACAGCAACAACGGCCTGGCTACGTGCACCATCCTGCAGCTTGGCAACAGCATGCGCTGGCAGCTTGGATTCACTGCCTCCGAAGCCACAGCAAGTCTGTCCGGTCTGAAATTTCAGCTGGAACCCTTTCAGAGCCTGGGCAGAGAGGGGAAGAGAAAAGAGGGAGAAGAAAACACAAAGATGCTTAGATTTGGCACTTCCCCGCCCCCCCGACACGCACACTCCATCACAACCACCAAGAGAGACACTCCTTTGTAAACACAGTGACCATTGTGACTGCCATGCCCCTGTACTAGGAAAGGTCTGTCAAAGGTAGACTCCTTAGCAAGGCCATTTCCAGGCCTTCCTGGAGAGACCCGCTTTGCATTTGTCTCTCTGCTTAGGCCTCCTTTTGGGCAACACAGTCTGAGAACTGTCACTTCACATGAAATATTACACGAACACATCAGTGAAAGAAAGCACACCAGAGCTATAAAGAAGAATTTAAGGGAAGTTCCTTCACGTAAGATAAAAGTCTATTAACGACAGAATAATGGGAGCTGTTTTCTTGGCGTCAGGTGAAATGACAGGGCTAATTCACCTTCTCTATCTAAATAGCAGACATTAGAATTCTTTATACCAGCACATTTGGCTTCTTCCTTGAGGACACATCAATGTTCAATGCCAGTTTGACTTCAATAAGTCAAAACAATGGTTAGCACGAGCCTCTTCAATTTAACAAGATTTCTATTTGCCTCCTGGGCAAGGGCTTCATTTTCTCAACTTTCTCTGTAAAAGCAGTAAGCCACAACTATTTTTAGAACGCTGCTCTGTAAGAACATCAGAAAATCCCACCCATCACAGGTATCTTGAAGTACAGAGATGAATCAGATTCCATCCTCTCTGTGTTTCCAGATTAGCAGGGAAAATAAGATAGGTACAGCGGATGACTAGTATGAGTTAATAAACAATTAGTGCCAGGAAAGAAAACCAAGTAAAGCAATAAAAGATAAGATCAGGAATGGCATCATGGAAAAGCAGTGTCTCAGACCAGGCCGGGGAAGATTTTAGCAACAGGAGGGTGGGGCATTCCCTAACTTCTATGCAAATGCAGGGCAATAGGAAGGAACTATAAAAAGGGTGAGTTGCCAGGTTTGTTTGGATCAGGGCTTCCCACACATCATCAGGATTCCTGTGACCTGGAAAGCTTGTTAGAGTAGATAGCCGGACACCATCCCCAGATATACGACTCAGTAGGTCTATGGTGGGTCCAAGAAGTTGTATTTCTTAACACATCTCTGGGTGATGCTGTGCTGTGGACCCAGGGGCCATGCTTTGAGAACTGAGGGGTTACAATGATGCACCTATTAGGAAAACAGAAGATGAGGCAAAAGGAACTTATTCAAGCTGAAAAATAGGTCACAGCCTTGGATGCCAATCTAAGTCCGACAGTCATTATTCAGTAAACCGGAAAAAGCTATTTAATGTTCTGGGGCCAAGAAATAATATGAAGCTATACTAAAAGAAGATTAATTGATGGGTAAATCAGGGACAATTTAGACAATATCATTAAGCCATTGCAAGAGTCCCGGATGAAAAGCAATCCTAGACATAAGAGTGACAGGTTTCCTGGCAGCAGTGGAAAAGAAGAAGGCCAATGACTGGCTCCACAAAATAACTGCAAGTTTGGCTCTTCAGGTGATAATTTACCTTACAGAGACTTCAGTAAATTTAGCACACCCTCTTATACACAGTAGATGCATAATAAAAAATAGAAAAACTATATCATATGTTAGTGCCTCTCCCTTCATTGTGAGAAGAACTTGAGAACACCTATCAGAATTTGTTTGTGAAGTGAAAGCACTTAACCTTCATGTTTGCATACTCAAATTCTTGAGACCCATACAAAATTCCTGACAAGAAATAGTAGAGATATCCAAAAATAACCTAATCCACTAAAATAACTTGTGCTTTAAAAAGAATTGCAGTGCAGACACGACAGTGTGTCTCTCCTGATGCCAAACTTGAACATGAGAACAAAGTAATTTTTTAAAGATATTATGTTTTTTCCATTATTTGGCATGAGTGGTTTGAGTGCAGGAAAGAGAAGGCAGAAGGAAAAGGGGGCATCAGTCTAATTACCACTCCAGTAGGTAGGCTTTTCTTTCCTTTTTAACAGATTTGTGGGTGTCATGAAGTAGGTTATAGACTGAAACACATCATCTTGACTCACCAGCTAGCCTTCTGTTCCAAAGCAGCTATTGTTATCAATCTCTTTTGAAAAACAATAATACCAAGCAGCTCACAGCTATCCAATGTAAAAAATCTCAAAACTTCCTAGGAAAACTGCAAAAGGAATCAGCACTCCTTTCCTTTTCCATTCACTCCTCCCTGATTCACGCCAGCACTTCCAAAGACAGCAAAGTTCAGGAGACATCAGTCCTGTCGGTCAATTTGTATCTGTGCAAGTGTATCAGAGCCAACTGCTACATGTTGATTCCTTGTAATCACAGAGATGGGGACCTACGAAATGTTGACTCGGGAGAGGGGGGATGACGTTTCCTCGTACTCCGCTGAAGTATACAAGATCAAATTCTTCCAAATAATCCAGATGTTACCTCTGGAGTGGGAACAGTGACAGAATCTAGCACTCTCAAAATGAGTGTAGAGATGAACACATATATTTATACTTAACCAGACTCAACCCTTGGCCAAGATCTGACAAAAGCAGCAAGCAGAGGAAGGAAGATAAAGCCCATTCTAGATGTTCACTCCATCTCCACTCCTCAGCTCATCCCATAAACCGTTACCAGAAGAAAATGCTACCTGCATGTCAGTAAGGATGAGTTTATATTTTACATCAAAAATGAGAAAAGAATTTTTAAGGACACATTTAAAGCAAAAGTAATGAGAATGAATGGTGTCCTACAAACATGTACAAACAAGGAAGGGGATCAAGACAACCAAGAAATGGATGGAGTGGGGATGGAAGGAAGGGGAAGGGAATGAGAAGAAGATGTATTATGTACATGTAACAGCTCCACCGAGGAACTTAATGGACCATTTTTTAAAACACAGAGTAATTCCCATCGGCCTATCTACAGGTTGCTAAAGCACACTGCAAAGAAAAGAAAGGAATACGGGTCTGGAGATATCTACAGTACCACGCGTCACCTTGCATCATAAATTGTTCTGCATTCACCCTATACCCTTTGGCAGAGGTTCACTCTGACTTCTGTGTGTCACCCTTTGCGTCATTCATCAACAGGGGCAGACAAATAAAGCTAAATCATCTGTGAGTTCAAAATTTAAAAGTTTCCAGTTTATTATTGTGCATACCACAAGAAGCCTGTAAAAATAATTTTATTTCCAATCATCTGGACAGTCACGTCTGTATTTCTGTACCTTGGTGATTAGAGAAACTAACAGTTCAGAGGGCTACATGGTGCATGTACTGTAATCTGAAATGGAACAACGGGCAGTACGCACGCCTAAAAGCCTTAACAAATCACGGTTTCGGGTGATTTCATAAGCTGACACCTATGCAGTTCTAAAAGTATAACCCTTTTCTGTAATAAGTGTATTCATATTCAAACTAACACGAATGCTGATTTTTCTTCAGCTTTCTGCACTGCTGATATGTATTTCCATAGATTGTGTTAACATAAGAACAAAAGGCAAAATGGAGATTTTCTTATTTTAAAAATATCTGAAGTCCCTTCATGAAATGGCTGACTTTAGGTTTTGTACAGGAAAGGCAGAACATGAGTCTTGGACATCTTGTCATGTAGGAAGCAAAAAATCTTTCAGGAACTAATACATTAATTCCAGAAAGAGAATCCAACATGATGAAGTGTCCATTAGCTGCAAAATGTAAGGAAGTCTGACTAGCAAAAAGCGCAATAACCGGAATAAACTGGGACACATCTTCGAAAACCTGTAAATTCATAACTTTATTTTTTTCCCAAATTACATTAGTCACTGTCGGAAAAAGTTGAAAAAATGCTATAGCTTGGATGAAGCCCCCAGTCCACCCCAAGCCATCTTTAAGGCCTTGGTCTCCAGACTGTTGCTGTAGTGGGAGACGTGAGGCCTCCTAGGAGGACTGCTGTCTGCAGGGGTTGGAACCAAAAGGAACATCGGGCCCCACTCCCTCCGCTGCCTCTCCTTTATGTCTCACGAGGTGACCACACCGCCCCTGCCACCCATTACTGCCATGATATGCCCAAAGAAAGAGTGCACAGTGGTCATGGGCTGAAATTTTCAAAGCTATAAGCCAAAATACACCTTTCTTTTTTAAAAGCTGAATTCTCTTAGCTCCAGTAATAGCTGACTACACAGAACTAAATTGTTATTCTCAAAACAAAGCAAGAAAAGGACAAAGGGAAAGAAGTAAACATTATGAAGAAAAATTATTCCTAAGAACATTTTTTGTTGTTGTTTTTTTGAGACAGGGTTTTGCTATGCAGCTCAGGCTGGCCTTTAACTCACTTTGTAGCCCAGGCTGGCCTTGAACTCACAGTGATCCTCCTACCTCAGCCTCCTGAGTGCTGGGATTACAGGCGTGCGCCACCATGCTCAGCCTTCCAAGAACATTTTTGAAGGAAAGTGTGTTTGTTCCTTATCTGAAGGGATAGCACACACCTGTAATCACAGCACTCAGGAGGTGGAGGGAAGAGGACTGTCACAAGTGTGAAGCCAGGCTGGGGTACACAGTGAGTGAGAGGCCAGCCTGAACTGCACAGCAAGACTCTATCTCAACAAAAAACTGTGCTTCTTTTTGTCTTATAACAAACTCATCCACTTAAGACTAGACACCTAAAGGAAATAACATGTTAATGATACTTACCCTGAGCATACCTCCCTATGTTACCTACCACGCTAGGGGAGATGGTATAGAGGGGAAGTCTTGTCCCCACATGGGAAACTCTTTTTAGCAACCTCCCAAAAAAGGCCTCTCTAAATCAATTAGAACTACTTTCCAATAATTAGGAGATGGAACTGTTTATACAAAAGATGTGCTAAAAGAAGCTCCAATTTGTCAAAGAAACAAGTACAGGGCTGCTTGGTCTGAAAAGAGAACACCAAGGGGAACCTGAAACCCACAGCAAGCTCGGCTGAGGCTTCTGAGGAGTGAGAATTCCCTCTAATCCCTG